TCTAATTAAAAATACATCTTCTTAATATCTTATCGAAAAATACTGCAGCATTTTTACAAAATCGAACTGCCGAGTGTTTACGAGTGTATAGTTTCACCACTAACGTCTGCATATCATCCAGAATTATTTCACCGATTCAGCATCCAGTACCAGCTAGCGTCAATTCCATAGAGGCGACTTATCATTTCAACCTTTACGTTAACCGGTCATAGTAGATTTATGTCAAATTTTCCGATTAATAGTGTACTTTGTAATATTGGATCAGTAAGATTAATGATTAAATATTGCACGCCGGGGCCGGATTCTCCTCAGTCCTCATATTTGTCTCAAGTTCGATAATTTGGATAATTTTGTTTCTAGTCATTAGGAACGGATGACATAGTTACAAAAAATTAGTTGCTCAAAAGTTGTCGACGTTATAATTCTCACAATATTTACTGGATTGTTATATTTGCTACCACTTATTACTCGCTTGGAGCGTCTTTGTTTCAACAGCGGTGAATCCAAGCGAGTTAGGGTCGAATCCAATCTGCTGCATAGAAAACGTAGCAAGAGAAAATTGTTTTGTGGCTTACTGTTTCTGCGCCGGAAAATTATTGGGAATCCAAAGCCTAGAGTCCTAGACCATTAAAAATCTGCTTCTTGATTGGCTTAACAATTTCAAGTTTTTTGCCTTGCCTATTTATAGATTATCATGTGAGGTTATTATAATAGATAATCAAGAAAATTTGGCAGCCTATGCAGATGACGATTACTTTCCTTGATCAGGTGCAGTCAATGAATATTGTTAAGGATAAATAGAAATCTAATGAAGTCTGCCGCATTTAAATGAAATAAACGATTCAAATACATTCTGAACACTCCATTATTTTAAAAATTGTCGATATGAATGTGATCTTGTACGTGCTTATCCTTATGTCAAATAGACTAAAATAAATTAATTAGGTCCGCTCGACACCTGCTTTCTGACTTCTGTGTTATGCTTGTATGACATGAATTGATAAATATGTAATTACAGGAAAAGCTTATTCAAGTTAGGTTGTCGGTTCAATTGTTTAAATTATCATCCAGTTGTTTCTGAAAGAAGTAAGGCTCACTCACTGAGGCATGAATCGAACATTTTTCACAAATTTCGTACGACCATGTTTTCATTAGGGCTATTACTGCACTGGAAATCTTTTAGCCTGCTGTCTGTGTTTCACCATAAAAATGTCAAATTTAATGTCAACAAGGTTGATCTATAAACTTAATGCAAACACATTCTAGAATTTCTGAGGAAAAAATTGCTTTCGTCTGTTTTTTTCTTAGACATGACTTTAGTTTCCTCGTCGTTCGATTGCAGAAACTTACGCAAGTTAAAGAAGTTCAGTTGCTAGTAATTTTCAAGCCGTTTACTCAAGGAGAGCATTACATCATCTGTCTTAGGTTGGTCAGTGTCCCGAAACTCGTTCGTACTCACAGTACTTTGAGGTCTCTTCAGTTGCCCCGTTGTGTCGTTAGAATTAACTCTAGCGGTGCTGCATGTGCCGTAACGTCATTTGTGAGCTGGTCTTGTATGAACTTAAGCACAGTTACTTGTTAAGGAAAACAATTTTGTCAGGATTCTCTGGCGATAATTATTTTATTTATTTTTATTTACCTGTCAAACTGAACGCATAAATGAGTCGCGTATGCATTAATAATTTTAGTTTCTTGAGAGTGTAATCTGTCAATTTTACATGTTCATATGATGAATGATAATAAATATGTTTAGAAATTTGTGCTTTTTCACATATCTTTGTTCTGCCGAGAGTTGCAGTCGATTCGTTTGGAAGCAAACAATGTGGAGTCGTCTCGAGTAACCTGAATTGTGTTTTAAACATGATTATAAAAACACAAGCCTTGCGCGAACTTCCACTTTTATAACAAAATGACCATTTGAAGTTTTAATTTACTAAACCGATTACATGACTAACTCACCGAAACATTGATAACATGTATACGTAATTAAATCAGCTTGACCCACAAGGAAACATCGAAAAACGACTCCCTTTTCGTTCCAATTAGCTGTCAATCAGAATACAACCATGAGCTGCAATAGTGTTAAAGATCAGCGCCAAGCCTTGTTTTTCAGAACTGAGTTAGATTTTATCCTCAGATTTCAAATTCGTGGGTTGGGCGTGCCACTCCGCTTCGTGATTGCTACCCTTATTATAAATGTCATGAGGTCTGACGAAGAATTGACGTTCCAGACAGCATTCGTAGTGCCAGCATACAAAATTAAAAGAAAGGAAATTGTTTATTTCTTGCACTCCTCAAAATGGGCAATTACTCCTGTAAACACAAAGTAACTATTTTCTTATTCCCTCACTAAACTAGAAACAATTTACCTGGTAATCTTGCCTGCAAGGGCTACTTGCAGTAATTTGAGAGAGATGATTAATTTAAAAATAACAACATATTTCGATCGTCAACTATTGCCGTGGGCGCTCTTAGTTCTGTCATATATTGCCCTTGACCCTTATACAGCGAAGCAAAATGAAATGACAAACTCTTATAATGACTGACTTATTTCTACATGTTTACTTTAAAGGTGACATTTTGCGTGTGTGTTGAGGTCAATCCAAGCAGAATCAGTTACACTGACCCAGGCTACGCGATGTCCAGTCCTGGTGCACTCGCGCTGCACAAAAGCTGTGAGCGGAAGTGCGGTCGCGCTCCGCAAACCTGAATTAAGCGCACCCAACATGCGTCATCCATCCGTCGTCCGAGCAGAGTGCATATCTTTGATGAGAACGGCGGTACTTATAGCCACCCACATATCATTGATATGGTATCGAAATATATCTAAGTTGTGCGTTTCGTGTTTATAAACTAATCAAGCCCTTGAGTGCTCTATCAGATTATACGTAATTCATCTGACTGCTATCTATTCAAGCAAAACGACAGACTACGAGATTGGCTTTGCTTCATAATCCCTATAACTGTTGATGTTGAAGATATGACCCTGAGAATCTCCAATGTCTCTCCATTAATGAACATTAGCTCAAAATTATCGAACATGTCGGATTCTTCTTTGCACATTCGCGACGGGTTAGCAATCCGGCAGCCAGTGAAGAACAGAGGTTCTCTATGCTCGCCATGTGCCGGAAATATTACTCCTCTAACGCTGTTATCTCAGCCTCTTCACAGCCCTGAATCTTCCTCGATAGTGCGACTGTCACGAGATAATCTGCCTTCGTCTACTCGTTTTGAAAGACGCCGGAAAGCTCGACTGCAAGAGAGTAAAAGTGTTTCACTTATTAACTTATATGACGATAAGTTTATTAAATAAAAAAATTTTCTCCAATCAAACCGATTTAGTTTTAGTTTAGTTAGTTTTTTTTATAAATGTCATCGAGAGTGTTTTTATTTCATCATCTCTGTGAGTACATTAAACTATATTGGTGAGGTTTCAACTCCAGGGTTGACGATATTGGCGGAAAACGAATAATTGCTCAAAAATTTTAGTTCAGTCAACATCGCGTTGACGTTTTCCCAGCAGTGGCACCTGTTTAACTTACATCTAGTGAATTCCGAGGTTGAAATATTCTCGTGGAGGCTCCTAAGGAATAGAACGAGTGAATTCCGAGGTTGAAACATTCGCATGGAGGCTCCTAAGGAATAGAACGAGTGAATTCCGAGGTTAAAACATTCTCGTGAAGGCTCCTAAGAAATAGAACGAGTGAATTCCGAGGCTGAAACATCTCGTGGAGGCTCCTGAGAAATAGAACGAGTGAAATCCGAGGCTGCAACATTCTCGTGGAGGCTCATATGAGGAATAGATCGAGTGAATTCCGAGGCTGAAACATTCTCGTGGAGGCTCCTTAAGGAATAGAACGAGGGAATTCCGAGGCTAAAACATCTCGTGGAGGCTCCTAAGGAATAGAACGAGTGAATTCCGAGGCTGAATCATTTTCGTGGAGGCTCCTAAGAAATCCTCGTGTATAGGCCAATATGTTATTGTGGCTGCTGGCTATATACCTTTTCCGCCGCTACCTGCAGTTGTTGCGGTGAGGTGACCGCTGTACAGATTACAGTGCGTGTGCCGCTGCACCTGGCATGCCGCCGAGCTGCCGAGACGAGGCGCGTCTCTCGTCGAGATAATCCGATCGATTTGTCGAAGCATTTCATGTTTCAAACTAATCAAGTTCTTATTTGGTCGCAAACAATATTTATTTAGCGATATTTGTGAGGGGTTTCTGTGTTCGTTCTGTCACGAAAACTCTAATTTTTTTAGTACCGGTATGTCACATGCTGCTAGATTTCCGAGACATTGAAATAATTTAACTGGCCTTGTAAGTAATTTATATTAAATTTTTATTTAATTTTCTCTTCATTTTTCTCTAATTATGCTGGAAAATTTAAATCATGTGGAATGAAAGTCTGTAACTTAGACTAGGCCTCTATATATTTTACATTTTCATTGAATTGTTGAACTCCAATGGCAAATTGTTCTTTCTCGCTGAAAACCGTTTCTGACCCGGACCAAATGACTATAAATGCATAGCCGACTTCGACTGCGCCTCGACGGTTTTGCATCGAAATGGAAGTTTCAACTGATGACCCCCTCTTCAGCGAGAGACTTCAGCCAACCAGACGCGACCACCAACACGAGACAGCAGTTAGCTAGCGCCAGTATAGAAGCCCCTATGTGTCTGACAGTCTGTGTCTATGTCTATGATCTGGCAGTGAAGTTAGCGATGCGTCGGAGGTAGGGTGTGCGCAAGTGCTCTGTGTGTGATTTGGCTCGTGCTCTGAAGCCGTGATAGTGTCCTGCTAACTATCATATCGTCCGGCCAAGCAATCATGCTATTCCGTATTGTGACATCGATTGCTACTTAACTGACACGTTTCTCACAACAGAATAGTAAAAGCTACACCTTGTGTCTATGATCTTATAATGGGAACTTGACCACGAAAGAGATTGTCTTGCATATGAGTAACACCAAAATTTTGTCGTAATTCAACAATTGAAATGTTGAATGTGATTAGGTCGTAGAACAAAAGACTACTTCATAACATATTGAGAAATTTTTTGTAAAAAAGATATGTCATAAATGCAATGGGAGATTATAAACTGGAGCTGTGAAACACTAAAACATTATTGAGAACCCAAGCACAAAGAGTATTAAAAAAATGTCTCTATTTCAGTTGAATTGAATTTATAATCACATCGACATGCCTGACGTCAATCCTTATCTCGGTCGGAAGAATAAATTTTTACGTCTCAGCAGCAATGAACAGAGCAAATGCTCGCGAAGGCAAAGTCTAAAGGCTTCAATACAAGTTATTGTGAAGCCTGACCTCTATGAGCAATCACTGATACGCAAACTGTCACCTGAGACAAATACTGATGTTGCAAATTTCTATGAAGAACCTAACCCTTGCGAAGAAAGGGCTGGAGCTCGTGAAATTTTGCGGAGAAATAGCGCAATGACCGCATCTTTAGGTCCAAATCGAAGGAAAGAATTCAGGAACAGAAACATGATTGATTCGGATAAAGTTCTTACGACTGAAAATAACTTGTTGGCTGCCAACAGAAAACGTTATAAGACCGTGGATGGTATTGATTTTAAGTACTTGAGTCCGATGCAACTAAAATATCAACCTTGTAATGGTAACACCGAAGAAACGAACGATACAGTTATGACACAAAACCTGACCTGTCGTGATGTTCCTCTTCCGCTACCTCCAACCACGTCAGGTGAATCCTGTGATCTAAAACGTGAACTTGTGGTTTATCCTTATAAAAGCGAGGCTATTTTTAACGACAAGTATGAAATAAAATCTGAAGAATGCGTTAGAAACAATTTTCCGTTACATAGAAAGTCAGCCAATAGACGCGCTATTGCCTCAGCTGACAAGTCTTGTATAAGACCCGTGTTGCCTTCGCGCTGTCGAAATGCCACCTCGGCAATTCATGAAACAACACAAAAGCCACCCAGCAATTTGCCGGCCATAGTTTCGGACACAATAAAATGCAATGGTTTACCATACGAAAGTCCCCATGCTAATAATGAACTAGCAGCTCGTGGGGAGACAAGGAGTGCAGCGAAGGAAGTTTCAGGAGTGACTGGGGAACCTTACGACGATGAAGAGTATGTTGAAGATCTCGCGCAACTCGATGTGCTACTGCACTACGTTAACAATTTGTCGGCATCTCTTGAGTTTTTGGATTGGGAGAAAAATAAAAGTGAGCATTATTATGAGCGTTGATATCTAATATTATATCGTCATTTTTTCATTTTAATTTCTGCTTTCACTCATCTTACTTAGGTTTATGCGCTGTATACCGATAAAATTACGATTTTAAATTTAATTACCTACTTATCATAATTTTTAACATTTTCATGATAATGCTGATGAGCATAATTTTAGAGTTCTCAAGATATTTTCATCGTATTTACTTTTCCTTACCTAGTCTTGGCCAGTTAATTTAAGTGTGTATCCTCGTTTCACGTTATGAAAATTATTTTGTCTCAATATTGCTTGAAGTGGTTCACAATATTTCTCATTTATGGTACATACATTCCTTTGTAATGACAAGGTCAGAAGCGTTATATTGTACCCTTTATGACTAAATACAGGAGACAGCTTTCAATATTACACTTCATTTTGTAGATGGGTTGATTTTCTCTGCGTTACGCTGATATCAGAACAACCATATTAAAGGCACTTAGTCATCGTAAGAGTAGTGGCCGGGCTTGATAAGAAGACGGCTTCGATAGTATCTCGATCTATAAACTGATAAGAACTGCAATATTATTGCTATTAGTGCAATAGCATCCCTTTTTTGGTACAAAGATATAACTTCAGTAATACTTTTCAATCCTTCATAAATGATATTATTTTCATAATAATCATATTTTGTGCCTTGATTTGATATTTATGTGCATCTCTTGCGTATAAGAAATAACGTGATAGTTTCCTAAAAAGTTTCCTTGTCGTTCCTTTCGTGCGAAAAACCGAAATAATTTTCTGAATCATTTACCGACCATTTGCGACTTGCGAACAGTTCTACGACTGAACGAATAGAAATCATGAAAATTTCCCCTGTGTTGAAAAACAGGATCTTGGAATTTTCGAAAAATCGATTTTTTTATCCGTCTATGCGCCGAATATTTAGTTTTTTGTACTTGATCACATCCTGATGCCGTATCATTCTCAGTCAAGATAACCATCTATACCTGAAACGCGACTCACACTGTCTAGATTCTTGATTTTTTTTCTAAAGTTCATCGCTTGCCGTCGATGTTACATCAACAGAAATGCTCGCTGCCTCTTAATGCTCAAAGCGCTTCCTGTTTCGTTCCTGTTTTTGCGCCTCCGCATGCGGTATTTTGGGATTGTTAATGTCCTTTTGGCGTTAACTTCCCTTTTGCGCTAATGTGTGTCTGTGTTGCCCCGACAGGTTTCGCAAGCTCGATTTTGGGTTATAACACATTAAGTTTCATATTTTGCACTGGTATTTACAGGTGTTCTTATATTTTTGCGAGATTTAATGTAAATAGATGATGTCTTCATTATTGAAATAAGCGATTTCATAGTTCATGCATGAAATTTATTTCATGGCTGGTTCATAGCTCAATCTCTATACCATTATCGTTTGGAAAATTTGTATCAGTATGACATTCTTGAAAATCTAAAATCCAATGATACTCCAAGTTCATAATTAGTGAAAAACTTAATTTCAATGGTTTATTCTGCACCTTTTACGTTAATTATTATTCGCTAGCTCCAAGCCTCGTAATTTGCAGTGTGCGAATCGCGTTGAAAATGTTTTGATAAACTTCATATTGTTTCTTTATCTTGCAGGAATCTCCACGGACTTGGTTCCTACACTATTGGGCATTTACGACGCCCTCTACGCCAAGTTCACCGACAGTCCTGAGGATCAAACTACGTCAACAGACACCAAGACCAACGGTCGAGAAACGTCCCATGTTTTTCACGAGTCAGTGAACCAGTCGTGCGAAGTCGATCTCACCGCCTCAGACGGAACTGAGAAACACTCTGAGCAGATTTCGGGTGATATTGGTAATAGAGAAATTTTTAAATCATCTAGTCATGCAGACAATAAAATAGAACCATCATGCGCACATTTAAAAAAGCCAAACGAGTGTTGGGAGTTGGGCGATAAGAGCACTTGTGAGCCACGTGGGGAGCCTGATAATTCTTTAATGGGTTCTGCCGCATCTGAGTGCTACTCTGCCGACCGTTGCGAGATCGATGCCTCTCCTTGTTTAGGGTGTCGCACGCGACCGTCGGCAGCCGTTGCAATTATCAGCGAGCCTCAGGATTCCTTCCCCGAGGGGATGTTGCCGTCTCATCGTCGTTTATCGGTGCCTCGCCAAATGTCTCATCCAAATGTCTCACACATTCCGCCGCGTTCGCCCATCTACCCTCGACGATTGTCTCCTTCCACCACCGGTGATGTGGCTGTTGTAAACCCAACCTCTGGCTCCTCACTTTCGTTTAGCTCCAAAATTAATTCAAGTGATAACAAAACTGCTTGCATAGTCAGACCTCTAAGTGCAGTATCGAGCTCTTCCTCATCGTCTTCCAACTCGTTGCGACGAGGGCACGCGGGCATCAACACGTCGTACCTCGCCTCGGTAGAGAGCCTCGTTGAGGCAGAGGAAGAGACCGAGGCGTCACCGGCCTCAGGCAGACGTCGGGAGAAGAGCCTCAAAGTGAGGCGTGACTTTAGAAGTCAGCTCAGCAGACCAGGTCAGTCGTGCTCTTGTTCAAGATCATATGCGATTTTAATACTTTTACTATGTCCTAAATTTTTAACCGAGTTGTTGCGACCGTAATTCAGTAGAATTTACGTTCTACATCTGTCAGTCGTTACTGATTTTCAGAGTTCATTTCCATAACATTTTTATTTTTCAATTCGTAAAAACTTAATATTTTAAACTTCGTAACTCAATAGTATAAAACTTCAATTCAATATTCGATTAAAATTTTTTGTTACTACGAGCAAAAATTTTGAGTCTGACCAAGTTACCAATCATGCGTCCGCAAACCGTTTATCGCAGTAACACGTTCAGTACTGATCAGCTAATGATCTTGTTTCTAGCCGAGTTCACCATCTTTTTCTCTCTTCGGATTCCTTCAAATAAAACCTCTTCTTCCCCCTCGTTCCGTGGCTCGCTTCATCATTCTTTCGAAAGCTGAACAATTACACTCTTTGTGCTGGCTAATATTGGAGCTCGTCTGTCAAATGAAGCCCTTCTTCGCGTGACATCTTCCTTTGACTCCCCTCAACGTCTAGCGGGGTCGTCACGTTCTCGTATTTCCTCGGACTTCACACTGATCATATCGCGCCCAGCTTGGTACTCATTCCTTAAACGGGTGTCTTCTTTCTTGTATTGTTTCAGGGACTTTTTGTATGTCGAGTCGTGCGGGGCAGTGTTCTGTATGCCAACAGTGAGTCGTGCTGCCCAGTTCCATGTTGGACACGATCGTCTCGAACCTTATAAAGCTGATGGTCAACTTTCGCAACCTGCGTTTGATGGACTCCATTTCTTCCTTTCGGCCGCTAAGCTCTAAAGTACAGTTTATTTCACCGCTATTTCAGGATAGATTTTTCTTTAGTTTGGTGGATTTTTTTTCTCTACGTTTTTTTCTTTTTGTGCATTTTCACGCTGAATTTGATGTTTTCCTACCAATCTTCGAAAAAATTTTTCTAAACTGCATTTTCTCGCTTGATGAGCTGTACTGCCAGTTGAAACCGTACAAATGGCAGAGCGTGTGTTGATTGACACAGGGACCGAAGAAGAATTCCATTTTGTTGAAACAAATGATAATCATCATCTCCCTCTTTTACTGATCATTTTTATTTTACGTACCCTTTTCATGTTAACTCCACTCTGGATTTATAACGCCAGCCTTAAAAAAAATTTTCGAACCTCTTTATTGCGAGTACTTATAACACTGTCAATTATTCGTACTTAGCAATTCACGCAGTAAAAAACTTAAATTGCTATTTAATCGCTTATTAACTGATGTCAAACAGTAAATCATTTCCTATATCTTCTGTTGAGTGAAACTGTAAATCATTTTTATTTTTCATAATTCATATGGAATACAAATGTCATCCTTCAGCGTGATGTGTAATTTGTTGCAGCTCTATTTGTTCACACAAAATGAGTCGCATCATTGACTTGTGCACTTTCTCTTTCAATTCCATTGTAATCTTACAATAACGTCTTGATCAGGCATTCATTTGGAAATGTAAAAGTTATCGATGATGCTTTCAGAGTGGCTATCATGCTAGTCATCCTCTTTGTTTTCCAGCCTTCTATATGCAATGACACTTCAACTGCCGAGAAACTCTTCAATCTCTTACTTTCCAAGACATTAAATTCGTTGCTCATTTTGCTTAACTTGGCTTATGTTGTGTGCTTTCTCCTTCCGTTGCTTGACAAACGTGGTTATGCTTGTCATAAAACGCCCTTTAACCGAGTGCGTGCAAATGTCAACAAAACTTCTGATGTCCAAGCTCACTATTGTTTTGCGATGTTGAAAGTTAGAAATGAGGGAATTTTTAACGAATGCTGGTGATTTATTGATTCTTTTAAGCTGTCTCTCCACCCATGACCATGTTGTGATTTGGGTGATGAGTTGGTCAATTTTGTGATATTTTTGTGCTCTTACCTATGATAAGATTTCACATACCAACGAAAGACGTTACTGTAACCTCGCATGAGATAATTTTCCTGAGCTCAATATCCTTTATTGATGTGAATGCAATATGTTTTTAAACATCCAAAGTAGATCCATTAGGCCTAGAGGAATTAACTGATAAAATTTCATGTTTTCTCTATCATGCGCAACGCTGGAGTTAACTTGCTATACTTAATTATGCTCTAGTTAGGAGCAGCTTTGTTAACCTGAGTCTGTTGGCTGCTTGATAGCCTGAACAACGCACCAAGTCTGGCCTTGAGTGGCAAAGAAGGCTACTAAATGCATAACCGTTACTTCACCGCGCACGCTACAGCTCAAACTATGGGACTCACCAAACACTTGCGTCTTTAAAGGACACGGAGATGGGCAGTTGGCTCTTGAATAAAATTGAAAATAATAGTCAATATTGTCGATTCTTGTTGGAAATGTTAATCTCGTAACTAGTGTCCTAGTTTAGTCGAATGTTTGGTCGACTCTACCTGAATATACATGAAGTTGTTGATGGGCATCAGTGATGCTTAGCACCACCGCCTGTGCCGCCTAGGGAAAAAACAACACCATGCCGCCATACAGCGGCGCTAGCCTGAAATATGCCTGCTTTGTGACACGCTTCACTGCTCTTACACCTCCGCCTTGCTTGTATAAGCTCACTAAATCCCGCTCCTACATTTCTCTGTGGGGGCTGAATATTTTTAATCGGTATTGTAAAGTCTATCTGGTCGGTTCAAATCATACCATTAGATTTTATACCGTACATTAAATTGTAATTTTGTAATTCTATACTTGAATTTGGAAAAATGTTATTTTGTTTATATTATTCGTTCAAGAGCCTCAATAATGACAGATGTTTACCAAGTTCCTCACAATATTGTTTTACATATTCGTACGATAAGTAAAGGTACAATCCATTGGAGTAAGATATTGACTCCATTGTTTTTATGAGTACATAGCACGCTGGGTACTCAGTCGCACCCTGTACGGGCTCGTGTCTGTCGAGCTCGCTTTTCAAACAGCTCTTTTTTTACTGCCGAGTCTGGCAACGAACTACTGTAGTGTACCCATACGTTGCTTTACTTGATTTTGCGTGTGTTTTTAGTCATGAATCATTAACTTGTTAATGATGTTGACTAAACGTGTTGTTATTGTTGACTTACGTGTTGTTTTTGAACTTACGCTTCTTAGCTATGCAATAGTCAGAAATATATATTAGTTGATTGCACGATACCTTGATCATTTGTTTCTTGGTGATGATTTGGATCAAGATATAGGAAGTGAATTGCCGTATGGAAAGTAAATTGTCGAAAACAAGTAAACTGATATCAATATTGCTGTTTTATATGGGCAGGCTAAAGTCAATCTGTAAAGATCTTCTAATACCGTCTCTAAGTAGTGATCGCTAAACGATTGACCGTGAATTCTAACATGTTTAGTCTGAACAATTTTCATACAGAATTTTTTGGCGTGTTTCATATTCACAGACAAGTAAAATTTAATTTGAATGCATTTTTTAACCATATTTGGCTTACTATGTGCCATTTTTAAATTCACACCTTAGATGAGTTCCATGAATATTAATATATCATCTAATGTATCGGAATTTACGGAGCGCATATTTACGCCTGCTCCCCTCTGAATTTTAACGCGTGCCTAAATAACACTTCCCTGGACACCTGCAGGGTCGCGGTTTTCTCAGTTGGTTGCGTGTTTTCTCAGTCGGCGAGAGTCTTCAGACTTGTAATTGACTCAGCCGTGGTGGTTAGCTGGTTCTCTCAATCGTTGTTTCCTCATATGGTGTCTACATTAATGAACTGCGTCGAGTGTTTTTACATTTAAGAGCAATTATATGTTAACGAGATGCTCGCCGCAACAGCTGCCAATAAGGCAGTGCTGTTGTGAGCTGTTGCCGAGGTGTGCCTCCCAACAGCTGTCATGTGGCAGTGTTGCTGAGGTGCGCGTCCCGACAGCTGCCATGTGGCAGTGTTGCCGAGGTATGCCTCCCAACAGCTGTCATGTGGCAGTGTTGCTGAGGTGCGCGTCCCGACAGCTGCCATGTGGCAGTGTTGCCAATGTGGCGTCCCGACAGCTGCCATGTGGCCAATGTGGCATCCCAGCAGCTGCCATGTGGCCAATAAGTGCCAGATGGGGCGTAGTCCCCTGCAAGAGATAGGCCGAGTTGCTCGGCCCACACGCAGGCGCCCACGCTGTCCTCTTCACTCCTCGTGCTTGCTTTACAAAAGCTAGTTAATTTCAGGTGATAAGTTTTGAAATGTCAATCCTGAAATTCGCTTTTATTCGTGAATCTTCTACGTGCTTTAGCTGAGCTAAATGTCACAAGTCCGTTTATGCTTCAATTCTCAACACGAGTATATTTTTTCATTGCTAAATGATGTGCAGATGCCGAAAAAATTCGTTCATTTGTTTTAAATGAGATGTTCTTATGTACTTTACATGTATAGTCCGTTTCATCATACAGTGAATATATTTAAAAATACTTTCAGTCATAGTTTTATCTCCCGTTACTAACGCCTACCTGCTTGTGATGACTTGTAATAACCAGCAGAGAATCAATTAATCTGGATCATACAATAGGCGTGTCGGTAAATTTAATAGATAAACACTCCTTGCTTACCATTATGAATTAGTCAAGAACAGATTTTAACGATCAATTGCACATTGAGCTTTGTTTGTGCTTCTTTTATATTAGTTACTCTGAATGATTGAACCGCCAAGCGCTTGCCGAGACTCGCGTATGATGGTCTAACTCCTCCCAGTGACTTGGCTTATCTAGTCACCGCCTGCCCATGTTCAGCTCAAAACCTTGTAAATCTTGGAGCGAATATTGTCTTGCATGTCATTTGTTTTATTAAAACTGAAATTGTTTTTGTCTTTCAAGAGATATCACGGATGCGCTGCGTAGCCGCAGTAAAACCCCTAGTGCGGTGGATAAGACAGTGAAAACTTGCTGTGAAGTATTCATGAATTACCAATAATGAAACTAATGTTACATTCGGGGTCATTGAAGATGACAAGTTTGAATC